GGCTGTCGACTGCAAATGACTAGGAAAGCCACTGTGTGAGCAGAAACAAATGTGGCCTGCGGTGTCTGTCCCTGGTGAGCTCGCGGCTGCAGCAGCCCCTGCCACCGGCCTGCGGACACCAGCTGCTGCCACCCTCAGAGAACCAGCCAGGAGTGCTCCCTCTTTCCAATTTTCCTGGAAAACAGCTGACACAAAATTAACCTTATTCTGTCCTTCGCCATTTGGAAAGATGTGTAAGGAAAGCCACCTAGGCCTGGAATTTCTCTATGCAAGGTTTATTTTTTTTTTAATCTACTCCCTGAATGGCTGTAGGACTGCTCAGACCCTCTGTCTCTCTCTCTCAGAGCTCTGGTACTTCGCCCGGCAAAGAACGTGTCCACTTCACCTCTGTTTCCAATTTTCCTGATTTCTTGTCAATAAATGTTTGTTGTCCATGACACAGCGCTGCCGCCCTGCCAGCACCTGTACGACATGCTGTGATGCCTCCTCTTCAGCCCCTAACAGCCATGATTTGTGTCTTTTTTTCTCTGAATAATCAGGCAGCAGCTGGCAAGTTTTCTTAAAGAATAAGCTTCTGGTTTCCCTTACTGTATAGTATTTTTTTGTTCCCTGATTCACTGAATTTGCTCTAATTTTTATTATCTCCACATTTTTAGGCCTCATTTCCACAATTTTAGTTTCAATTTTCAAGTTTTTCTCCTACTTTCTTAAAGCTCAGGCTGAGGCCTATGGACTGAGAGAATTCTAGTCCAACATGGACTAAGTATTCTCCGTCTCCCATCCACAACTGATATGTGGTGTTTTCATTTGTTTCAAATGCTTTCTAATTTCATTCCCTTTTTTGGCCATGGGTTAATTATCAGTGAGTCATTTTGTTTCCAAATGTTAGAGCGTTTTTTTCAGAGCTCTGTTTTTCACTGGTTTCTATTTTTATCTTCTGACAGTTAAGAAAAATTACCACTTTGTAAAATGGAAATCCTTTTAAATTTATTGAGCTTTGCTCTGTGGCCCTCTCTATCAAGCAGGGCTCTGCAGAGAGACAGATCCCCAGAACCAAGAGGGCTTGTGTGGGGGATCTGGTGCGCGTGTGCATGCACATACAGACATTTGTTTTATTTTCAGAAATTGACCTACGAGATAGTGGCGGTTGCCGAGTTTGAAATTTGTGTGGCAGCTGGCAGGCTGGACACTGAGGCAGGATGCAACACCCTCGAGGTAGAATTCCTTCTGCAGGAAACTCAGCTTTTGCCCGAGGGCCTTGGCTTAGACAGGGCCCACCCCCGTGATCGAGGGGACTCTCTCACAACACGTCCCGTTTCCCACAGGTTTAGAGGCCGACCACATCTACAAAACAGCTTCCAGCAGCATCAAATGTTTGACCAAACAGCTGGAGACCACGGCCAAGATCACACACAAACCCACCATCACACCCAACGTGGGCGAGTTGGGGTCCCTGTGCTCCTGAGAGAATGTGTGTCCTGTGTGCGAGTGCGAGTGGTGGGCGGTGGTGCCGAACCCTCTGCCTCTCCGCTGACCAAGGAGGGCGACTCCGTGAGTGCTGAGCTCTGCGGCTGGAGCAGGTTTCACTTCCTACACCGAGGCTCTGCGGCTGCACAGGCACAGTCCCAGCAGCGGTGTGCTGCCTGGGAACACACACCCTCTGTGCTCCCTGCTCTGCCGCCAGTGTCGCCACCCCAGGCCCTGCCGCTAGTGCACGCATGCGTCCCTGTCCCGCCGATTTCCTTTCAGTCCACCTGTGTCTATGTCGAAGATTCAGGATGTAGAGGCAGCGGAAGTCAGGTCTTGCTTTACGGAGCGCGACAGCCGCTGCCTTCACTGAGGGCACGACACTGCTGTTGATGCGATTACCGATGTGGCTTGTCCCCATCACCTCCACATTTAATTTCTCTCTGTCCATGTCCCTTTGTGGGGTTTTCGCTCTCCTTATTCCTCCCTTTGGACCCACTGAATATTATTTGTTATTAGACTTTACATCCTTTGTTGGCTTGCAGGCTGTAACTTCTTATAATTTACTTTGTTATTAACAAATTAACAAACGACTGCTTTAGAAGACTCCCTTGCTGTGGTCAAGGGCACGGATGAAACGCCTTCTGCTACCGCCACGCCCGATGAAGGAAGGCTGACTACTTCATCCCGACGGTCAGGAGCCGGGCCCGGACAAGAGCACAAGGACAAGAAGGCAGCATTCTCCAGCAGTGTGGCGGGCCTGGAGGGGCTGCCCGGGTGGAAGCTGAGTGGGCTGTGGCCGTGGGCAAGTCACCACCCAGAGGAGACAAGCCGGCCCTCCACCTGCTCACTCTCCAGCGGGAGACCCGAAGGAGACACCTTGAGCTTGCCCTCCGGCTGTCCCCTCAGCCAGGCCCCCTTTGGGCCCTCCTCTGGGCCAGGTGCCCTTAAACACCTGCCCACATATCGTCCCAGTGGCCTGCGCCAGCACCCCTGTGAGAAAAATGACTCTTCCCCCCTCTGCAGGGAGGATCCGGTGGGTCAGAGCCGCAGGGGCTGCGGAGTGTGCAGGGTCCTCACCTGCCTTCCAGGTGCAAACCCAAGCGGCCCCGTGTGGGTACCCACAGGGAAGCTGCATGGCTGTGGTGTGGCCAGATGTCAAAAGGGAGGGCATGAACCAAGAGGCCCAAGACCCAGTGTGCCTGGCTCCCCGCCTCTGGACAAACTTCAGTTTTGTTAGGATTCCAAAGTGCTTTCCAGCAGGCCTGGCTACCCATGTGCAGTGTCCGAACAGCAGCACTGCAGGTGGGGGGCTGGACCACACCTGGCACCCACACGGCATAATGACTGCGGGGTGCGCCCCGGCTCTGCTGGCGGCTGGCAGCCCACCCAGGCTCTCCAAGGGCTTCCTGCTCCGGGGTCTGGCTGGACCTGTGTTTTCTTTTTTTTTTTTTTTTTTTTTTTTTTTTTTTTTAAAGATTTATTTATTTATTTATACAAGCACTGGGTACAGTCAGAAGCGCGGGAGGGGGAGAGAATTCACTGAGCCAGAACGGGGAGCAGAGCAGGCAGAAGGACGAAGTACACTGCTGAGGGGAGCAGCGGGCGGCAGGAGAGGTCTGCGCGCCATGTGGGACCCTCCTCCGGTGGCCGGGGAGCAGCTGGGGATCGAACCGGCGCTGCAGAGGCTGCAGGCAGCCTCGCAACCCAGCGCTCCACCACTGCGCCACCGGGGAGGCCCTGGACCTGTGTTTTCTGTGGCGCTGTCTTGCGGCTGTCAGCTGGCTGCTTCCGACCAGCAAAGTGACGCAGTTCAAGCCATTCCCTGGGTGTTTCTGCAACCCAGGATGGGTATGCCAGAGCTGGGCTCCCCTCAGAAGTACCTCCAGGTCACGCGGCCACATTCTGTGCACCTGTGTCTCCCTCAGAAGGGAGGTACTGGCCTCCCTGGTCAGGGAAAGCAGGGCCCAGCAGCCAAAGTGCCTGGCCAGAACCAGCACCAGTGCCCTGCCTGTTCCCAGGCTGCTCCCAGGCTACCAGCTCACTTGCCAACCGCACTTTTCTCTTTTGAAGTCCTGCCTCTTTGCTCCTGAACATGACTACTGACGCAGTTTTAGCCTCATCCCCACCAGGGTCTTTCCGCATCTTATTCAACATCCCAACAACTCTGTGAAGGAAGCAAGATTGTTCCATTTTACAGACGGGGAAACTGAGGGCGGAGAGGCCACACTGCAGCGCCTGGCCCACGGCCACATGGGGTCTGGTCACCCCATCCACACAGGTCTGCGTGCGGCCCGGAAAGATTCCACACGAGGACTGTGGACAAGCAGACCTGACCATGGGCAGTGATGCTGGCTGGTGGGGGAAGAACTCTTTGGAACTCTGAAGAAACACCTGATCTCTCCCTCACTTGTTGGGGGGCGTCCCAGAAGCTGCTCTCACTGCGTCGCCTGTTTCCATGACTACGCCATGCCTCGGCGTCCATTTCACAGGGCTGCTGGTTTCCAGTGAAATCACATCACTCCTGCTTCAGGAAGATGGGGCAAATAACAGCTGGCAGTGCCAGAACAGACGCCCCAATGCCTGCAGCATGAGCTGCTCACCTGCACTCAGCCCAGCACCACTGGAGCTCGACAGCATCGCAGGCTGGGCCAGGTCAGACCAGCCAGAAACTCAACAGGCTGGCAGTGAGAGCCGACACGGCCCTGCCTTCGGCAGCACAAGGTGCCTCTGCCAGCCCAAACTGGCTCGTTACCCTGGGGCACCCTCTCGTCAGACAGTGACCACGTACCCCCACCATGCCTTCACCACAGCACCCAACCCTCCAAATCCCTGTACCACTGCTCATAACTACGCTCCTAGAAGTGGGATCTCATCAGCCAAAGCCCTGCCAACTCTGCATGGGAACTGCAAATGCCCCCACAAAGGGGGTCCTGCAGGCAGGCTCACCTGGACGGTCACTTCTGGTGACCTTGCTGTGGGCGCCAGCTACAGCTCTGAGCCATCAGGCTGCTGACATCCTCAAGCCCCAGGACGGCCCTGCATTCACTGGGGCCCAGTCCTATGCCTGCAGGCACCGGCCACTCCCGGGCACCCTGGCCTCCTCAGTGCTGACACAGCAGCCAGGGGGAGGCAACACCACGGGATAAGTAAAGTTTAAAGGATAAATAGCTGAACTAAAATCAAGCAGTACAGGATTTTCAAGTGAACAGGAAGGAAGCAGGAAATATTCTACTTTAACTGTTGCCATCCTTGATTCAACCCACAATTCCCCCACGTTGCAAGGAAACAAGAGTTCTCAACACCAAACACAAGGCACGAGTGTCATCGCAACTGCTTTCTATAGCATTCCAAGGAATGAAAACCACGAAGAAACCAGCTTTCCACAAACTCTGCTTTCCACAAATGCAATTCCGCCTCAGATGCATACTTCAGTCCCTCCTGGAAAAATCAAAATTTTGCCTCCCAAAAGCTTGGGCAGGAGCCGCCAGGACGAGGCGGGGCAGACGATCCACCGCGTGGGACCCACTCACCTTCACGGGGCTCGCGTCCCCCGGCCTGCTGCCCTCGGGCGGGTTCCCGGGTCTGCTCTCAGCGCGGGGCCTCACCACCTGCCGGAAGGGGCTGCACAGGGGAAACCCACTCACGCTGATTCCATCTGGAAACAAGAACAGGGAATTCGAGGCACAAGTTAGCTTGATTCGTCTAAGTGCGGGAGATTTTACCCAAGAACGAAGAACATCGGGCAGGCGCGTCCCTGTGTCCTCCTTCCTGTCCTGTGTGCTACAGGCGTCAGCTCTGCGCCGGCCCCGGGGGCTCCCGGCGGTGACCAGCGTCCCGCTAGCTGTGCTGGGGCCAGGCCCACTGTGACCTTCCGCTTCATCTGGAACTCTTCTCCCACTTTCGTGGGGGCTCCACCACCTTCGACTCCAGCCACCTCCTCACCCAATCCCAAGAAGCTGTTCCTCTGAACGGGACCCCAGTCGCTGTAACCTCCACAGAGCGCCCACGCCCATGGGTCCTACTTGTGGCATCACCAAGGACATCCTGGTGTCCTTGGCTTTGGAGCCCTCGCACCCCAGCGGGTCTGCCAAGAGGTCTCGCGAGCTGACAGCAGGGCTCCGACAGCCGGGCTGACGCAGGGGCGCGAACGCCTCCCCTCTGCAGGCCCCCCTCACAGAGGCTGCAGCTGGGTCCCCGCTTGCTGCCGTCACTGCACACGGGAGACATCTGTGGCGCCTGCAAGGCAGCTTCCTCTCCACAAGGAAGGAGGATGCCTTTGGACTGTCGGCTTTACGGGTGGTTCTCGTTTTAGGAAGTTGCCCGTCTCAGCCGCCGCAGGCTGTGGGGTGAGCCGTGTCTGCTGTTTCGGGCAAGGGCTTGCTCAGGCCACTCCGGCCAGGCCGGACAAGGCTGCACAGCAGAACCGCTGCGGAGATGAAAAAAAGCTGCTCTGGCTTTTCTTCAGGCCCCGACCCCCTAAAACCACTCTGCTGTGACCATTGAAGGACCTTTCACGCCCAAAAGAGGCGGACTCATCATAAAGAAGAGCCACTCCTGGACAAGGGGGGCTGTTCCAGCCTTGGAGGAGCATGTGTTAGGAGCACAGCACAGAAGTTAGTTTTTCACTGACATTAAGCAGCAAAAGGGCAGGTGCAAACCACAGTTGCAGGTGGTGGCAAGATGTCCTTCATCACCTCTCACGATCCCACACGAGGTGTGTGAGGAGCTGGGTCCGTCACGTGTGGAGCTGCCCACAGGACTACAGCCAGCAGGTGAGCCACGAGCCCAAGACCTTGGTGGTGCCAGCGCACACACAAAAGGAAAAAGGGGAACGCGGGGCCTCTGGGAAACTGCCAGCAAAGCTTTGGTGCATGGCGTGGCAGGCAGGGGACAGCAGCTGGACTCGGGGGATCCTGTCCACTGCAAAAGCAGGTGGAATCCAGGCGCCGACAGGGAAGCTCGATGGAGGGGAGGAAGCCAACCCGGAGCCTATCCCAGCGCACAGGCCATCTTCCAGGACGAGGGTCCGGGCGAAGGGGACTGGTGTGAATGTCATGGAAACTGGGGAGGCGCAGGAGTGGAGAAAGGCGCCAGGACACCTCAGGAGCAGGCCACTGCACTTTAGCCTGCAGCTACTGAGGCCCAGGCTTCCACCCGCCACACCACAAAACCAGTGCCAACGCAGCCTGGGCACCATCATCGTAAGCCTTGATGCCATGAGGGCCTCATGAAGGAAGAGGCCAAAGCGAAACTGAAGCACAAAGACGGATGAGGCAGAGGAAACTGGAGCACCTGTGTAGGCCACAGGGTGGACTTAAGGAAGCGGGAGCCCAGGGCCAGGCGGGTGCAGGGCTGGTGCTGCTGTCTGGGACGCGGCTCGGTGGATCTAGAACACCCATCGCCACCGAATCGCCATGACCATTTTGTTTTTTTTTTTTTGTTTTTTTTTTTTTTTTTTTTTTTGTTTTTTTTTTTTTTGTTTTTTTTTTATAGAGGCATGCTTTATTTACTTGTTTGCTGGTTTGTTTGTTTGTTTTGTTTATACAAGCACTGGGTACAGTCAGAAGCGCGGGAGGGTGAGAGAATTCACCAGAGCCAGAGCGGGGAGCAGAGCAGGCAGAAGGACCGAAGTACACTGCTGAGGGGAGCAGCGGGCGGCAGGAGAGGTCTGCGCGCCATGTGGGACCCTCCTCTGGTGGCCGGGGAGCAGCCAGGGATCGAACCGGCGCCGCAGAGGCCGCGCGCAGTTTCGCAACCCAGTGCTCAACCGCTGCGCCACCGGGGAGGCCCGCCATGACCATTTTGAAGCCAGTCCCTGTTGGTCATTGGCCCTGGAGCTGTGACACCCTAGACGGTTCTGCTCTCAGCTGTGGCTGCATGTAATATGTATATAATCAGTCATCCCTTCTGCTAGCTTAGCTGAAGAAAAAAGCCATTTCTACATAAAAACAAGCAGAGCAAAGTATCAAACCCAAGCCAAGCCATCAGAAGACAAAAAGAAGGTTGCAGGGCGCCATAAAATCCCTACACTCAGTGCCAGAAAGACCAGGGCAGAGGAAATGATCAAAAGAGAAACCTTTTTCTTCAAAACAAGCTAAAAGACATGAAGACGATGATACAGACATGAGAGATGAAAGAGAAACAAACATCAGAAATGGAAAACTTCCAAAACGAGGTGACAAAAGGAAAATTACAAGCTAAATTAAACTCCATCTTATAAATGCACACAGTGCTATAAGGGGTGTTTCGGAAAACCTGGAGGAAGGGCACACAGGACTCCTGCACTGTTTGCATCTCTTCAGCAAATCTGAAACTGTTGGTGTCCAGTGACAGAGCAGCGGGTGAAGAAGACTATACACTGGGTGGAGTACTATTCGGCTGTGAAAAAGGAAAAGTCTTGCCATTTGCGACAATACAGATGGAGCTGGAAGGGAAGATGCTAAGTGAGGTAAGTCAAGAGAAAGGCAAAGCAGGATGATGTCACTGGTGTGGAAGATGAAAAGCTAACACAGGAACAGACAAAAGCCAAAATAAACTAAACCCTTAAAATCTGACTACAGAGTTGAGGCCAGCAGAGGGGATTGAGTGAAGCTAAGAGGGGAGAAGCCGCTTGGACTGTAGTGTAGAATTACCGGGGCTCTGGTGGTGGGTGTGGCAACATACACCTGAAGGGGGTGAACCTGCACCCCTAAATCATATACAGTGCTATAAATCAACATTACCTCAATGCACAGTATTAAAAAAAAAAAACTCTCTTAAAATTACAAAGGAAAAGACTGAAAGAGCACATCAAGTACCTAAGAATACCAACCAACACAAGGATTTATTTTAGTGAAAACACTGAATTTAAGATGAAAGAAAAGCTCAGGCACCTACACAAACAGCGAGTTAATTGAAAGGGAAAGAAAATCAAGTGATTGTCAGATGTTGGCAGCAACACTTTAAGACAAAAAAAAAAAAGGAATATTTAATGCACCAGAGAAAAGAAAATGTGCACCAGACATTGGATCACTGAAACTTACTTCAAAGTGTAAAGAATACTACTGGCGACGGGACCCCTGTAACCCCTCGGAGCACAGGCTTTAAACATCAAAGCTGCGAGACTAACGGCTGACGCCAGCACCAGGGCAAACCCGCGGAGGGGAGGCCGAGCGGGGCCCAGTGCCCGGCACCAGGGTGATTTTAAAAATAGGGAAAAAGTGTTAAGAGTGGGCACAACAATCATGATTAGCTCCACGGTGGCAGGACCCCTGCTGGGAGGGGTGGGGGGCACGGCACGTGACGTCAGGTAAGGTCGATGAGGGATCAGGGGATCCTATTTCTACGGCTCCTTTGAGTCGTAAGGAGCAGGAATTTTAGCATGGAAGAGACACACACGTAATACAGAAAAAGTAAAAGCATTTTAAACCCTTTATTCCTGAGCCTGAACTGATGGCCAGCGTGAACGCGTAATGGCTTTCATCTCAAACAAAAAGTCCATATAAACATCTGGTTCCACGAGCCTGTGTGTGACCAGCCCCGTCCCCTGAAGACCTGGAAGCCACGACCCTCACGTCCAGGCTGTGTTCTCGAAATGCCCTCTCCCCACTAGGAGAAGCAAGCGCTTCTCCAAGAAACGGACAATGCCAGGCCGGCAGCAGGAGATGCCCGAGACGGGCTTGGAAGGCCTGTCCTGCTGGAAACGGGGGACCCAGCGGCTGCAGACCAGCTGTGGAGAGGACGCCTCAGTGCTGCTGCTGGACGCCAAGTGCCAGGGCTGGACAGAAGGGGTGCAGAGGGACTGGCCGCTACAGCATGGGGTGGACACGCCCACCGGTTCGCCTGCCGGGGGTGAAGGGGCCAAGGCTCTGCTCACTCATTCGGCCAAATTTCCAACGCAGGCGATCCCAAGCAGAGCAGGGCACAGGGAACAGGCAGTTAGCGGGAAGACAAGACAAAGTAAGTCACAACAGACGGCGCCTAGCAGGACGCTGAGTGGATTCGGGGCAGAGGGGATAGAACGGGGCGGACCAGATTTGGCCTTAGGGAGGATTTCACAGGTTCTGTCAAGAGCAGCTCTGCAGGCAATTCAGAAATACGATTCTGATTCTCAAGCACCACGTCTCCCTCGAGCGCAGCGCACCGCAGCATGGACTCGGCAGGGCCGGGCGGCTGTGAGCAAGACCTGGCGGCGGAAGAGCCCGCAGTCCCAGAGAGGCCTAATTTGTTGTTCAGGAGGCCGAGGTTCCAGGGGGATGACCAGCTACCCCAGACCTCCCCAGAGCAGAGCTGGGACCAGAACTCAGGGCGGGGGTCCGTAGCCACGGCCAGCTGCCAGGCGGGCCTGTGGTGCCAGGCACACCCGGTGCCTGGGCAGCCCACGACGTGGCCAGCGGACCCCCGGGAGGCCCCACATCCACCACAGTGTGTCCACTCCTCACACTCTCAACAGAGACAGGGGCTCGTGGCTGAATACACGCTTCTCTTGTGACAGGTGTCTGAAGTGAACCAGAATAGAATGTGACTAGAGTAAGACACTGACCAAAAGCAAAGGCAGCGGCAACCCCCCTCCAGGGCTTTGGCAGAGCAAGCTGCTCCAGGTGGAGTATATTTTGAAGATCCTTTTTCATTTATTTATCAAATCCATGGGCGCCCAGAAAGCCCACCGGTTATCAT